TTGAGCTGAATGAACTGACCAAGTGAACAGTACGAGGGAGCCGGGCTGCTCATTGACAATCCGACGCATATTTATTTTGCAGTACAGCGGGAACAAACCCCGATGCAGCTGGGAAATGTGGCACCCGACTCTGATCGCCGAGGCGTTGTTTGCTATCGCCAACATCTTCAGTTCCCTGCGCCTCATCTGCCTTTTCACCGCCAATTCCCACCTGGGCCCGCTGCAGATCTCGCTGGGCCGCATGCTGCTCGACATCCTCAAGTTCCTCTTCATCTACTGCCTGGTGCTGCTGGCCTTTGCCAACGGCCTCAACCAGCTCTACTATTACTACAGTACCGACGTGGGCAGCAACTGCAAGGGCATCCGTTGCATGCAGCAAAACAACGCCTTCTCGACGTACGTTCTACACAAAACCATTGCCGATGACGAATAGCTTTGTTTGGCGGTGCGGCGAACCTGATGTATGGCGCCTTTGTTTTTCAGGTTATTCGAAACGCTGCAGTCATTATTCTGGTCTGTGTTTGGCCTAATTTCCCTCTACGTGACACGAGTGAAGCCGGACCACGAATTTACCGAGTTTGTAGGAACCACCATGTTCGGCACCTACAATATCATCTCCCTGGTTGTGCTGCTGAACATGCTCATCGCCATGATGAACAACTCGTACCAGCACATTGCAGTGAGTGGCCTCATCTATTGTTTAACCGCTCCCGTTTGTCTCGTGTTCTTTTACAAACGCCCTGTGTTTTCTTTTAAGGATCACGCGGATATCGAGTGGAAATTTGCCAGAACTAAATTATGGATGAGCTACTTTGAAGAGGGAGGAACTCTGCCGTCTCCGTTCAACATCATACCCAGTCCCAAGTCATTTTATTATCTGACGGGATGGATACAAGCGCGTGTGTTTCGGAGGCCCAGCTTGAAAAGACTTGAAACATTTGAAAGTTTAGGGGTAAGTTATTTCATGAGATTTTCCTGGATCTGTTCAGACCGAGAGAATTATTTCATTAGCCGCTCATTGAAGGGGACAAACAGTCATACACGCAGATATCGAAAATGAAAACATCCACGAGGAGCATGGAGGAGAGCCTCACTCACCTCACCCCCGCCAACCAGGCTGCTGTCAATCGTAATACAGCATCTGTGAGGGACTTTTGGCTTCATGACTTATGCAACCTATTTTTTTTCCTTTACATTCTCTTTTATGGTGTTTTATATTTTACAGTACAGAGCTATTTATTTGATTTATTTTTACAAAATACGGGGGCGCAAGGGATTCATGTAATCCATATGCTGTACAAATGTAAATTGAGAGGTCCCACTGTCTGGTCAATACGCAAAAGCACGTGATTGATGGAACATTTAATTCTGTAATTCTAGAGGCGTGCGGCAGACAATGTCAGACTAAACCACGAGTATCAGGTAAGGCACATTTCCATGATCGAAAATGATTGACCTCTCGGTGACTTCAACGTCAACATTAGTGGGTATTTTTCAGGAGGTTTTGAGAAACCTAGTCAAGCGCTACGTCGCTGCAATGATCAGAGACGCCAAGACAGAGGAAGGCTTGACTGAAGAAAACTTCAAGGTAGCGTAAACCCGTTAAACTGAAGATCTGCCCACCAGGGCCATTTGCTCCCGTTAAATGTTTGGTCTTCGTCATCGACAGGAACTCAAGCAGGACATCTCCAGCTTTCGCTACGAGGTGTTGGGAATGATGAAGGGTCGTTAAACTGAAGCTCTGCCCACCACACATTTGCTCCCGTTAAATGTTTGGTCTTCGTCATCGACAGGAACTCAAGCAGGACATCTCCAGCTTCCGCTACGAGGTGTTGGGAATGATGAAGGGCAAATCCCAAGGCCGAGGCGCTGGAAAAGTAGCGAGCTCTCCCTTCGCCTACCCGGGAAACTCCTTCAAGTATTCCCCGAAATGTTGCACGGAGGAGAGGCTGGACGTGTTTGAACTGAACTCCCACAAACCGAGCGTGGCCGCCAACGCCAGCAACAGTCCGAGCGATGGCTGCGTCACGACCGCCAAAAGTCACGTTGGCGACGCCCCCAAGCAGAGGCCGCCCGGGAAGCTCCCTCAGCACTGCGAAGGAATCAATTCCTCCTCGGACAAGGGCTCAAAGTGGTCGGAAAGCGCCAGAGGACGAAACCACGAGCTCAAAAGTCCGAGGGTGATCGTGCAAGTTGTACAGGAGGTGGAGAAGGACGCTCAAGAGAAAGAGCATTCATGCAAACTGCAAACCGCTGGACATTAACGACCTCGACACAGCACACGTTCATCCGAGTCTGCAAATAATACATTCGCTTTTGTTTTTTCCCGCTGCTTTGTGGTAATTTATTAAATGAAGACACTTTCCCGACCGTGGCCTAGTTCGTGTATTACATGAGAATGTGTCATAAGCAGATCATCATGCTGATAGGCCTGTGCTGACTTGTGGAAAGCGCTGTTAAAAATGTGTCACGTGTTTTTTTGTTTGTTTGTTTTTTTTAACCTCGGTCTATTTTCATTTTTTTTTTTTTGGTTACAGTAAGAAACCATAAAACAATACTAACTCTGGGCTATACTTCAAGGCTCATGTTATGGGTACAGTAAATTACTCATAATTTGCAGAAATGAAGCGGTTTCAAGTAACCTCAACACATTAAATTTGTACTAATGATATGGTGCAATACGCCATGCAGCTAAATCATTGTGACACATTTTTGTAGCATATTGCCGCCCCCTGGCCCTTTTTTTTAATGTGTGAGCAATCAAATAAAAGCGCAACTCCTGGAAAGTTTGCAGATCCTGTTGTCCAAATAATTTGCTGCGTTTGCTAATTTTCTCATGTGGATGTTTACAAAACTATCGCCATCGTTTAAATTGACTGGATCGGCAAATTGCGACGTGAAACGGAGAAATGATCTTTGGCTCGAGGGAAAGACTTTGACATGGTGTCAAAATTCCGATACGTTTTAAAACTTCCATTTTTGGGTATGTTTATCTGCTTTGCTTTCCTATCGCTCATCCTGTTTACAAGGGCACAAAACCGTCCTTGTAAACAGTTTATTTCTTCTACAGATGGCCTCCTTAATAGTTTGGGATGTCTATCAAACGTAATGGAGAGCGCCAAAACTGGATGTCACTTGAGCTTAGGGTTTTCACTAACGGAGGAAGGCAGCAGAAGCTGATGTAAACCAAACATGAATTTTTTTGGGCGCCAGTAATTCATATGGGATGTGAACCGAGGGACAGAGTTACAAGTCTATGTATGCCTATTTTGACAACAGAATCAGTCGGAAGAAAAATAGTGGCTGGATAATGGCGCCGATAGAGCCTCGTCAACATCCATCCCGTTCAAAGGGTTCCCTGCTGTTACGGGCTATTTCAGACGTCTCTTTCACTCGACTCTTTGATCTCGTGGTGCGCTACAACTCGGCTACAGATGACCAATTTGCCCTTGGGACGACAACCATTCACCACGTATCTAAACTTGGACGATCAGAACTCCATTCGGATCAACTGGCCGCACAGGTGGCGAGAACAAACGTGAGTTGAAGAAATCTCACGGGATTTAGGAAAGGTAGGCTGCCTTCCATCTGCTACCTGTCGGGGATTCTGGGTCCTAGTGTCCCACAGGTTACACAGAAACCGTACACAAAAGCAGATGCCAAGCTTCGAGGAAATTCTCAGTGAAGCTATTTTTCCCAGATTGATGCCCCTCCAGCAAGTTGGTAAATACACCAACGGAACCGAGAAACATCTGTTCCTTACTTCATGGCCATCGATCACGGCACAATTGCTCCTGCATCGACGAATGGTGACAGACATACCTCCACATTTTTTTCCTTGACTGGGTGGAGGGATTGTTGGGAATGCCCCCACCGGGTCGATGCCCATTAATCAACCCCTGTTTGCACACCCCTGCGGCACACCACCCATAAAAATGATCCATGTACTGTATTAATCATGATCTTATCTCAATTTGCTCACAAATGGACTGATTAAGTGCGAAATATGGGCCTTTTCATTGAACATCAAGCTACAAGGCTGTTGTATGAAAGGCAACGGGTGAATTGCACCTTCTGCCATCCAGTGGATAAGAATTGCATTGTTCTGCCTGTCACCCCACCTCACTGGCATAAAAATCGGTGCACGGGTGAAACTGGATACTTTCCTGCCGCACATCTGCTGATCTTTTATATCTCATGAATGTGTCGAGGCCCAGCACTGACCTAATGACCTGGCAGACTGAGTGTAGGATTATTTCATTCATATGATCAAGATGGGTTTTTTTCATGGTCATGAGCTCACCAAATGGCGGGAAAAAACATAATCACTGTTTACTACTCAGTACTCAATAATTCTTGGAAAATTGTGCAACTAAATGAGTTCCCTTCTTCTGGAAGCCACGCATAAGCGACACCCACTAGACAGTCGCCTGAGTGCACTTTTCAAAGACTCACGCAAGAAAAACAAACTAACCAAACTCTGAAGAGATGATCAAAAGATGTGTTTTCGAATCTTCAGACACTGAAAGCTTTTGCACGGGCTTGCGGGCGAAGATATAACGGCACGAAGCCATTATGTGACAGAAGAGGACAAAGCGCTGTTTTATTTTTTTTTTAAATTATCGAGGTGGAAGCGTCACCGGTACGCTGCATCCAATTATCGCACCAATGAGTTCATCTGTGCCGTTGTCGTTGCTGCACGCAGGCACGCTGGAGTCGTTTTATGTGGGAACTTCAACCATGGGATTATCAAATTCATGTCCTCCAATTGTTTCGATTAAGATAAAATATCAGAAGCAGGTAAGGAGTTATGAAAAGACACTTTAACCTATTTGTGGATGCAAATATTGAGGGGCTTGGGATTGAGCCCTGCAGCAAATAGCGAAAGACCAAAAGCAATTGATGCCCCGTCTGTCAATTTGTTTTCAATTTTTCATATTCCTAGATTAAACATAAGTATACCACCAACCAGTTCCAAAATGTTTAATCTAATTTTAAACCAAATATAATAGCTTAATCTTAAAAATAAAAACAAAAGTGTGCCTGTACAAGCACATGGAGCAAAGACTCTCCGTAACTTCCAGTAACAACCCAGGCTAAGGTCAGCTGCTCCCCGACAAACAAAACTCGTCAAAATGTACCACTTCAACTCATTTCCTTGACAACAATGTACTCCTTTCCTATCAGTAAAGGGCTTTGGCGCCATCTTGTGGGATTTTGAGGTATTTCAGGAGGAGCAGAGAGATGAATTTTTGGAATGTTAAAGCACGAACCTGCACAGGATGACCGTACGTGACGGCCTTGATTCACGACATTCCTGACGCACGAAAATTTTGACTTGCGCAGTGGCAGGTCATGAACTTGTGGCATAAAAATACATGAGATGTACAGTTTCCCATTTGATTTGCCGTGTTGACGGCCTATCTTAATGTTTTTCAAACAAATATTCACCTGTGATTACGACATCTCGAAGAGTAACATTTTTACCGTAATTCTAACTGTATTGAAATTTGGCACTTGCCTTGTCATTATTCATAGTTCAGGCTTTTATTTTTGGAGGATTTGTGGCCACATGAAATGTGGGAAGCGCGAGGCCCATCGGGGTTCTTTCAGTGCAGTCGGATGAGTGACTTCCACGGAAAGACAGACCAATGTTTGCCTGGAATATCCCAGATGTGTCCCACAATGGATCCATGCGTTTCCTGCATGTAACACTCTGCAGTGTGAAAAATCATTTGAGGTTGTGTGAACAATGCGATCGCAATTTCACATCACCTCGTCCAATAGATCCAATTTCTCTCTCTATGCCAGCGACGACGAATAAAGGTTTTCTTATCTCCTTATATTATCTTATGTAGCTGTTGCCTCACTTTTGTGGTGTGTCGTGAAGTTTTTCTTAAATCTCGGATGTGCCTTGGCTCAATCCAAGTCGGAAAACGCTGACCGAGCATGACCTGACTGCGGTTGAGGAAAAAAAAAAAAAAACAAGCAGTCCTTTCGACCACTAGATGGCACACACACAGCATTCTGCAAGTTCCGCAACTGCCCTGCAGCGTCTATTGTCAGTACTAAAGAAAAAAAAAATCCAAGTCTGCCTTAACGCCACGACAATAAGGCCGCTTTACAACGTAACGATGTCTTATTAATGGGATTGCACTTACCAGGAGACGCGTCGAACGCCATCATCCTCAGAGCCGTTTCGAACATTTTGCTTACCTTCATTGAGCTCCGTGGAAGACAGTGTGCAGGTGTGCCTAATAAAGTGTCCTCTCGCTGTATTTTGTCCTTAAAAAAAAAAAAGGAGAAAGATTATTTCATTCATATGATCAAGATGGGTTTTTTTCATGGTCATGAGCTCACCAAATGGCGGGAAAAAACATAATCACTGTTTACTACTCAGTACTCAATAATTCTTGGAAAATTGTGCAACTAAATGAGTTCCCTTCTTCTGGAAGCCACGCATAAGCGACACCCACTAGACAGTCTACTGAGTGCAGTTTTCAAAGACTCACGCAAGAAAAACAAACTAACCAAACTCTGAAGAGATGATCAAAAGATGTGTTTTGGAATCTTCAGACACTGAAAGCTTTTGCACGGGCTTGCGGGCGAAGATATAACGGCACGAAGCCATTATGTGACAGAAGAGGACAAAGCGCTGTTTTATTTATTTTTTTAATTATCGATGTGGAAGCGTCACCGGTACGCTGCATCCAATTATCGCACCAATGAGTTCATCTGTGCCGTTGTCGTTGCTGCACGCAGGCACGCTGGAGTCGTTTTATGTGGGAACTTCAACCATGGGATTATCAAATTCATGTCCTCCAATTGTTTCGATTAAGATAAAATATCAGAAGCAGGTAAGGAGTTATGAAAAGACACTTTAACCTATTTGTGGATGCAAATATTGAGGGGCTTGGGATTGAGCCCTGCAGCAAATAGCGAAAGACCAAAAGCAATTGATGCCCCGTCTGTCAATTTGTTTTCAATTTTTCATATTCCTAGATTAAACATAAGTATACCACCAACCAGTTCCAAAATGTTTAATCTAATTTTAAACCAAATATAATAGCTTAATCTTAAAAATAAAAACAAAAGTGTGCCTGTACAAGCACATGGAGCAAAGACTCTCCGTAACTTCCAGTAACAACCCAGGCTAAGGTCAGCTGCTCCCCGACAAACAAAACTCGTCAAAATGTACCACTTCAACTCATTTCCTTGACAACAATGTACTCCTTTCCTATCAGTAAAGGGCTTTGGCGCCATCTTGTGGGATTTTGAGGTATTTCAGGAGGAGCAGAGAGATGAATTTTTGGAATGTTAAAGCACGAACCTGCACAGGATGACCGTACGTGACGGCCTTGATTCACGACATTCCTGACGCACGAAAATTTTGACTTGCGCAGTGGCAGGTCATGAACTTGTGGCATAAAAATACATGAGATGTACAGTTTCCCATTTGATTTGCCGTGTTGACGGCCTATCTTAATGTTTTTCAAACAAATATTCACCTGTGATTACGACATCTCGAAGAGTAACATTTTTACCGTAATTCTAACTGTATTGAAATTTGGCACTTGCCTTGTCATTATTCATAGTTCAGGCTTTTATTTTTGGAGGATTTGTGGCCACATGAAATGTGGGAAGCGCGAGGCCCATCGGGGTTCTTTCAGTGCAGTCGGATGAGTGACTTCCACGGAAAGACAGACCAATGTTTGCCTGGAATATCCCAGATGTGTCCCACAATGGATC